GTTTTTCATATATTTTTTCTCTATTTATGTTTTTATGAGTCTGTGTTTCTTTGATTTTTCGGGCACATTGACAATTACCGCAATTTAGATGATTTTCTATTATGTCTGCAATGCTTATCTTCGTAAAAGATGCATATCATAGTTGTAAAAGTAACTTTTTTTCGACAAAATAAAAGATCTGTAAATATATAGTTCGTGTTTTCTTTACATTTCCTCAAATTTTCTCTATTAGTGTTTTCAAGACTTTTTTTAATACTAATTTATTATTATGTACTATAGCCAGATCATACAGGATCTATTCCCAAGTAGCATTTTTGGATAAACAATGGAAACGCTATGCCACAAATAGGAAACATTTTCGAAACCTATACCGGGTGTTACATCGTCGAGCGGGACATAGGAAATCCCATGTAAATTTTAATGGGGTTAATTATTGGCTTCCCTAATTATTTTAGAGAATAATTCTATTTAGGTTTATTGAAGAGCACTAAAGATAAAAATATCTAAAGCATTCAAAAGAATAACTTTAGATATTTTTGATTAGCCCGTTTACGAGTTATCGCCGATTTCTTTTTAAATATTTCTCCTTTCTTACGGCCCTGTATTTACTTATGAGCATCAGTCAAGGTAAAAGATAACTGTCAAATGAAGTTGTCATTTCAGAAATGTATCTATTTAGTGGTTTATTATTATTATTAAAAACTCGTACCTACATCGAAAATATTAGCCATGAATTACACTACCGAAGAAAAAGTATTGATGATTAAATGGTTTTATCAAGGAAATAGTTATCAAAAGGTGTCGGACATGTTTGCTGCTCTGTATCCGAATAGACCGATACCTGGAAAATCTACAATCGCAAGGAATATCCAGAGATTTGAGACCAAAGGTACCTTAATAAATAACTGCAGATGTGAAGCAAGACAGGAACAAAGAGAAGATGCAAGAAATGATACTGACTTGGAAGTTTTATTGTGCGTGGAAGAGAACGATGGAGAGATCAGCACAGGGAAACTTGAGGATGAAATAGTAATAGATCACACTACAGCGTTTCGAATTTCGAAACAACATAAATACTATTCCTTCAAATATGAAAAGTACCAAGAGCTACAAGATGGGGACGAAATACGGCGGCAGGCGTTTTGTTTTGATATGATGGAAAGAGCAAACACGGATAGGGAATTTTTAAAAAACATATGTTTCACTGACGAATGCACGTTTACCTTAAATAATGAACCCAATGTTCAAAATTATCGATATTGGAACAAAGAAAACCAACACAGGTTTGTCGAAACAAGGATGCAATATCCACAGAAAGTAAATGTTTGGGGAGGGATATTCGGACACAATTTTATCGGGCCATTATTTCTTACGCGAAATTTAAATGCAGAATATTATTTGGAACTACTCGAAAATCATATTTTACCTGCTTTAAATGATGCCGCTAGTGAAAATCAGGAAGTGTGGTACCAAATGTATGGCCGCCCGGCACATAGTACCCTGGCTGTTCGGGAATATTTAGACAACAGTTTTAACGGAAACGTTATTAGCCTAAATCATACAGTAAATTGGCCAGCAAGGTCTCCTGATATTTCGCCAAATGATTTCTTTCTCTGGGCCATTTAAAAAACAGGATTAGTGCTCTTCAATAAACTTAAATAGAATTATTCTCTAAAATAATCAGGGAAGCGAATAATCGACCCCATTAAAATTTACATGGGAGTTCCTATGTCCCGTCCGACGATGCAACAGCTGGTATATTTTATGTGGCTTTATTATATGTACTTCTAATGTGGTGGCACTAGCCACTTTCTGAAATGTTTCGATGCGGAATCAAAACTTTTAAATGAAATGTTTCGAAACATTTTCTGCACTTTGTGTCCAAGATGTTTCTGTTTTCAACAGCCACTGTTTCTAAATGCAAAGAAACAAAATACCAAATTAAATAGTCTATGTCTGTGTGTGGATTTCAAAATGAATAATACGCCATAATTTTCTTGTTTTAAAATCTTTGTTTTTAGGTTTTCTCGCACAAAAAGTGTCTGGCAAAAGCAAATTCATCGTTTAATTTAATAATGCATTTTCATATTTTTAATGCCCCTTCTATATATCATTAAGTGTGGAAGGCGGAAGTTAGCTTGATCAACAATGAACTGTTTCAAAAAAGGTATAAAACAGTCTTGACTCTACTTTATCTTTTGACATTGACTAGTCCTCGGGAATAAAAATATAACCTAACATCAGAAGAAACTAGTTCTGCACTAGAGTTTGCGAATGAAATGTATTCAAATACCGGATTTCTAGCACTTCACAATTTCAAAACAAATCTCTGCCATTTAGAAGTGTAATAGATTCACAGAAGTAAAATAACTTCAAAAATCGGTCCAATATTTTACTAGATGAATAGATATTAGGAATATGTAATATATATTATATTTTTTACAATTATTTTTCGATCTATTAAAGAATTTAAACGTTACAACAGCAAGTGTAACTTTGTAGTTATTTGATGAATAGATATACAGCGTTTTCAGATGGAGGGGAGCGTCCGCGCGTACCGTCCGCCAGTTCCATGAGTTTAAATGAACTATTTCACATGGGTCGCGTATGCTCCGTCCGCATGAGCTATCTTGAAAAAACATCGGCGTGGACGGTCCGTTCCATCTGAAATCGCTGATAGGGTATATTTAATATATGAATACCTTTTTATAGCTTTATAGGAAAGTGTTTATAATTTTTACAGTTATCTTTCGATTTATCATAATTTTTTTTTTCAACAAGTCGATTATTTTGATTTACATCCATGATTAAAATAAAAAAAATCTGTTGATTTAAATCGCGATTTACAGCGTTTCCAGATGGAGCGGAGCATCCGCGACTTTGAGCAAGTACCATGGGTCTATATGAACGATTTCACATGGGTCGCGTATGCTCCGTCCGGTTGAGCTATATTGAATAAACATCCACGCGGACGCTCCGCGCGTACTGTCCGCTCCATCTGAAAGCGCTGTTATATCTTGATTTAAATCAAGTTGATTTAAATCATTGCACTCTGATCGATTACTTTAGTGTATTGTTCAAACTGCGACATTACAACTTAAAATGAAATAAAAAAAAATATTTGTTTATAGTGTTATTCTTACTGGTAAAATTATTAGTGAATTACTGTAAAAACTTTTTAATAAACATATAAATAAGAATTTTAATTCGATCGTTGAAAAAATGTTGTGTGCATCATGTGCCAAAAGCATTGATTGTTGTGTGCAACATGTGCACTCAGAATGTACATTATATTATATTTGTGTCTAAGAAGAGAGAAACTCATGTTTAGAAAATGAATCGACAATAAATGGAGACCTTGTTTTTAAAATGTATCGATGTCGATTTAGCGCTACCCAAGTAGCATTTTCACGACTTGCGACCACGTGTTTAATAAACACAACGTTGGATTAGTTACAAAAAATAGTTAGCTCCGTACCTTGGGTATTAAAATAAATGTAAACGTTGTTGTAACGTTGTGCCGACGTTGAACTAGTACTACAATAAAGTAGAAGCTTCTGCGACGTCGAATAAACGTTGTCTTGTAACCTTTTTTGCTTAAGTGATCTTTAGGTGATTCAGACAACGTAGTTACAATGTGGGCAATAAAGAGTTTTCCGACGTCACTTTCAGGACCTATTCCAACGTTATGCAAACGTCGTCTGTTTTACTAATTCCAACGTTGTTTAGATTTCCTTATTCTTATGTTGGTAGGACGTCGAGCCACTACCTTTTTGCAACCGTATTGAACCATAACCTTAAATCTTAAATTTTCACTTCATTGTTCTGTTCGGTCAGACAGTTCAGTGCTGTTTTTGTTTTTATTAAAAAAAACTTAATTAAAATGGGACATAAGAAAGGTACATATAAAACTAAATTTAAATATACATCGACATATTACCGACGCTTTATCCATTCCCTCGTTTATTTAGAATATAGAGGGCGGCACAAGCTAGACTCTAGGATGACTAAATTAGGCAATCTTGCGACTAGTATACTACCTGCTAAGGCTGAACTGCGACTTTATTAAACCAGTATGCGACTACTTGAACTACTCCATCTTAATCTCCAAAACAACAAAGTGAAAGCCGCCATGTTGCTGAATAAGAAAACGTTTCGTCCCTAAAATAGCAATTCCTGCTTTTTAAATACATTAACTTGAAATATTTGACCCCAAACCAAAACGCGGAAACAATTTTTTCGACTGCGAATAAATTATTCTCATTCTACTAAAAAAAATTCAAGAAATTTTTTAAAACTTCTTTAATTTTAAGGCCCATTAGTATTTTTCAAAGTAGAAACAATACATTTATCAATAATAAAGTTGTTTGCGTTTAACTTTTTTGCCTTGGGTAACGAGTTACAGAGTCGGTTAAAGTGTTTCAATAATTATGATCTTCAAACATTCTCCACACTTAAATACTTTTGTTTTGTTTTCCTTTACTGCCATCTGGCATATGTCTCTAACTAAATCATAAAAATAATATTTTTACTATGATTATCCCAATTTAGGATAAAACGCGACTTAGACGCCATATCATTATAGTTTTGTATTTCTGTGAATTAGGATTTTAAACAACGTTGCAGTTTGTACTAAATTAGGCTGCTAGCCAACGTCGGTATCCAACGTCGTTTCGACCCAAAAATTATTCTCCAAACTAGTGCAGACTAGGGTTGGCACGAGGTTGTGCCGACGTTGCTCCCCGACGACGTTTGGTCGCGTGACACAACGTTGTGCCGACGTCCAAATGCTGCTTGGGTATATGTGTAGAAATGTCGAACTAGTCACCTGTCAACAACGCCAATCAAAATTTCTGTTCAAAAAAATTAAAACAGTCTTACTTAAATGTTGCAATTAAGCTCTTAACTTTGTCTCAAACTGCAAAACTCATGCATTGTGCAACAAATATGTCCTTTTTTACTAGTTACTCAAATAACTGTTTATTTTGTTTTTGAAACAGCCGGTTTTAGACGTCGAACAGCAAAGCGGCGGTTCATCCCTAGACAGACCCCCTTCTTCGGCTTCATCCTCGCGCGCCTCCACTCCCGGCGCCCCCTTGCTACCCTTTCCCCTGGCGGGGTTTTTGGAGGCAGGCCTCGTACCACCTTTGGACGGCCTGGGAGCGGCAGCTTTTAGGTGTGGTGCTTGCTTGGCCGGATTTCCATCGCCGTGGTTGCTGGAACAGCACGCTGCGTTGCAACACCTGCCTGGTGCCGTAGGTAAGCATCATTCTTGCTTCAAAAATGTTCTTAAAGGTTCAAACATCATTTTAATGCTTGAATCTTTATTTTGATGATATATATTTTCTACCTTACATTAAAATACCCTATACAGGGTGGTCCGAATTGTATTCCGGAAACTTTGGTGACATATTCTGCAGATAAAAATAAGTAAAAAAGTTCGTATAAATGTATGTTTCAATGCTTAGTTTCGGAGAAGTTTCATTTTTATTTCGATTTTTTCGAAATAATTTTTGAGGTAACGTCAATATTGATGAAAATTGGTGTCTGGGAGTTTTCTGACATGATAAATTTGATTTTGATGTCAATATTACTTCTTTTGTTGGTAGATTGGTAGAGGGCGCCACCTACTAAACCACCATTTAACTGGTTTGAAGAGTAATAACTTTTCTTCCGTACCTGTATAAAACTACTAAGTAAAAAAATATACATTTACGGTATTTTTTACGTAAAAAAGATCTCTTGGTAAAAATCGCCACGAGGAATGGTTCTCGAAATATTTGGAATCGAAATTATGAATACCTGTCATCATTGACATAAATTAAACATGTTGAAATAGCAAAAGCGGTTCCACCGTTTCCACGGCAATTTCAAATAAAATAGTTCCAGCCTCGGGCGCTAGGTGGTAATGCAATTAATTTTTAGGCTAAGAAATTGCTACTAGTTATTGCCAGATGGCGTTCAATCAGATGTTTTTTGTAGTTTCCATAGTTTCCAACGGACATTGTCATACTATTGTCAAATTCTCAAAAAATATTGTCGTTGTCATAGCGCCAATCATCAAAAATGATTGTTAAAAGGTTTTTCAAACTATAATTTGTTATATGTGTTTTTATTAGACAATTCCTTTTGTTTGTGGCCCTAAAAATATAATGTAAGTCTTTTATTTTTGCAATCATTTAAGTACCTATTTATATTTACTTCATTTACAAAACTGTGGGCGTATTACGTTGGTTTTGTTTTATTATAATAAACGATGTTTAAATACCTATTTGACTTATAAATAAAAACTTTAAATAATAAATAACATTTACACATGTTTGGCTTTAATTTTATTTAATAATTGTATAAATTATACTGTTAAAACTTATTTTTTACACATCACAACGATACTTGTTATTAGTATTGTTGAATTTGTGTTAAAAATAAGATTTAATAATCAAATTTAATTTTTTAGAGCAAAATTCAATAAATACCCTTCGATCCATTTAAAACCAGTCCTACTCAATAGATGGCGACACTTCTCTAGGACCATTTTTCAGTATGGCAGAGTCCATTCTTTTTCTAGCTAGGTATATTCTTTGATGTTGACTAAATAGTTATTAGACTGAAATCATAAATTTGACAGAAACTGTTTTATCATCATTTCTTCGCAGGAAAATGATAACTGGACTGATAAAAAAAATAAAAATTTCCCGAATTTATTATTTCAGTCAAATAACTATCACTGAACGTGTTTCTTTTTGGTCAATATTATTATTTATATTGGACATCTCCATTCTAAATATCTTGAGAACGGTTACTCGTCGCGACTTTTAACAAGAGACATTTTTTACTTAAAAAGTCACGGAAATGTATATTTTTTCACTCAGTACTTTTATACAGGTGCGGACGAAAAGTTATTACTCTTCAAAACAGTTAAAACACATGCAGGTGGCGCCCCCTTCAGACAGGAGTCATATCGACATCAAAATCACATTTCTCATGTCAAGAAACTCCCAGACACCAATTTTCATCCAAATATTGACGTTACTTCAAAAATTATTTGAAAAAAATTAAAATAAAAATGGAATTTCTACACCCTGTATCTCGGAAACTAAGCATTCTTGGACATACATTTATACGAACTTTTTTACTTATCTTTATCTGCAGAATATGCTACCAAAGTTTCCGGAATACACTTCGGACCACGCTGTATTTGGTTTATTTTCAAGAACATTGGTAAACTGTTTTTTTTTTCTGAAATTTCGTACTATTACACAGATTTTAATGCCAAAGCGAATTACGATTTTAATACATTCTGTAACAGCCCTGAAAGAGTACTTTGTATTAGGGAAGAGAGTGGGTACTACTGGTGGTACTTCTTTTTTCCTTATAGACACAGTAATTTCAACAAATGCTAACTAAAAAACTAGAACTTTTTTACATAAAACAGGTGCTCTTCGTTTAGTACGAAAAGGTGAACGGTTTTCATGATATTTGCGTTTAAAGATTACGATTCATCGATTTTAGTATTTGTTAAATGACAGAATGTAAAATAATTTTAAATAAATTAATCTCCTGATTTCGCTAATGCTAAAATCGATGCAGCGGAACCCTTAAACGCAAATATCTTGAAAACCAGTCACTGTTTCGAACAAGACGAAGAGCATCTTTTTACATAAAAAAATCCTAGCTTTAATCTTTATTTATTCAAAAATTACTGTATCTATAAGGATAAAAGAAGTACCTCAAGTAGTACTCTATACCCTAATGGAAAGTAGCCTTTCAGGGTTGTTACAGAACTTGACACTATCGCCATTCGCTTGGGCATTAAAATGTGTGTAAGAGTACCCAATTTCAAGAAAAACGGTTTACCAATGTTCTAAAAATAAACAAAATATATTATTTTTATTTAACCTTTTGAGGACTGTAATTTCTTCCGGAAGCATTTTAGGGGATATGTTCGTAGGAACTTTTTGTTTTATTTTTATCTGTAGAATCTGTGAGGATCCCTCCGTTTTTGAGAATGCTCACGGACGCCGAGTTGCCTTGGTTCGGTTCCTTGGGCGCCACCCCCAAAGTTTAAAGTGTTTGAGAGACCACTAGTGCCAGTACGGATAGCTTTTATACAGTGGAGATACCAGGGAGTGATGAGATGAAAAGAAAATAAAACACACAATTAATTATAACGTAACAATAGGTTTTTATTTAACAAATTAATTATGTACAAAAGTAATCAAGGAAAGTTCACGTTCTCGAATTGTAACAATAGTGAAATAAAATGTATATTTAGAAACCCGTAAAGCAAAATTTATAATAACAACCGTGTACCTCTAGAGTTCTGATCGATTACTGATTCTATCACGCGAACTCAAAACGCGTTCCCGAAGTGACGTTCTATTAGACACGACGACGCGAGTTCCAGATCGGCGTCGGATTTAGCGGCGTCCTAATGAACACAGACACGTAGGTACCGGAGCAACACACTCTACCACGACGCGACTCTCTAAACGGCGGCGACGTCGTTACAGGCGTCCCGATGGTCACAGCTAAGTATTTATCGGAGCGGTGTCCTTTTTGACAGCGCAATACGGACCCCGGATCGGCGTCGGAGTTAAAGGTGTCCCGTGACACATTCACGCGAGTCCTGGATCGATCGCGAAGTTAACAGCGTCCCGTGGGATACACAAACGCGAGTCCCGGAGTGACGTTGACATTAGCGATGTCTCGGCGAGTTGTACGTCGTTCGGATTAGTACAGCCCGCACACACACCGCCCGGTCAGAACAACCTTGAGATTTCGGCGAGATCCCGTCCAGCGTCACTGTTGCAGGATGCCGTCCGGACGGCACACCTAGAGAAATACGGGAGCTACAAAACCAGCCTCGGGATTTGGGCGAGATCCTGTTCTAGCTCAATACAATACATATTATATTAGTATTAGTAACAATAGTATATTAAACAACGAGTTCCGAAAACGACGTTTTGCACACGAGTTCGACAGTTTGTCGATACAAGGCGTACAAAGAAGTTTTCGAACGAGTTTTTTACGCTATTTTTTCTACGACTACAAATTAGCAGCAGACTCACTCAGTTTTTGCCAGTTTTGTGAAATAATTTGCGATGTAATGATGACACTTTTCTGACGGCTGCGTTGCGTTTGGCGTTTCAGCTAAACATTGGAGGTTAAAAATGTTAAAATTGGCACATGTCGTGTGCAACATGACACATGTCGTGCGCTAAATCCTTAACACACAAGGTTAGCCTAGAAAATGCCTAGAAAATGTAAAATGCCTAGAAAAAATAAAATGAAAGTACTATACCTTGATTTTCTGGTTTCTTGCTTTTACAATCTACACTGATATAACTTTCCTTTTACAATTCTAGGCCCGGACAAGCCTTTCGTTTGCGACCAATGCGGCCAGTCGTACCGGTACAGATCCGCCTACGTCAAACACCGAGAACAGAACCACAGGGCGAGACTTCCAGCCGATAAGCTGTTCTCCTGCGACGTGTGCGGCATGCAGTTCCGCTATTTGAAGTCCTTCAAGAAACACCGGCTGAACCACGCTCTGGAACGGCTCCACGGAACCAGGAGGCCATCTGGAGGGGATTCGAGTACTTCAGTAGCGGTGATCGTTCAGGGGGAGCAAGGCAGTGACCAGGTGTCGAGTAGTAACGAGGCATTGATGCCGCAGGAGGAGGAAGGAGACATGGAGGTTAAGGTCAAGGTCGAGCCGGAAACTGATGATGCAGGCGGTAAATACTTTCTTATGTTATTAAAGGGGGTTTAGATTCTCAGATAATTTGCACAACCCCCTAACAATCCGAAGATTAAGGATTTTTCTCATGAAACCTCATGAAAATGAATTATTATATTTCATATCCTCTCATGAAAATGAATTATTATATTTTCTTCCAAGTACTTTTAGCGTTTCGAATGAAATTTTGGGGGTAAAAGTTACTATAAATGTTACATATTTATTTTAGTGCTAAAAAGTCACTCATCGAAAATATACCAAAAAGTGTTTTAAAGCGTCCTTATTAGGCGCAATTCTCCCTATAACGTCACGCCAATGTCACGTCGTCATTATTGCAGAATTCTCTCTCTTCAGTCCTGACTCCCATTAGGGAGTGTAGTGGTCAGCGTAACATCATGGATGATATTTCTCCATGCGCCTCTGTCTTTTGTCATCTCGATGACATCGTGCATTGGCTTGCTACAGCTAGTCGTGATCTGGTCTATCCATCGAGTTGGAGAGCGGCCACGTGGTCTACGTCCCTCCACCTAGCCTTGAATTATGAGTCTTTCCATATTGTCCGGACTTTTCCTCATTATATGTCCAAAATATTTTAGTTGTTTTAGTCGGATTTTACAGGAAAGCCTGTTAGTAATATTAAGTTCATTTATAATGGAAACGTTTGTATGGCGTTCAGTCCATGGGATACGGAGCATACGTCTATAACAATACATCTCGGTAGCATCGATCTTCTTACGTTCCGCCTGCCTGAGAGTCCACGATTCGCAGCCATACGTCAATATTGGGAGTACCAAACAGTTGACTAGCCGGTTTTTGGTGGCTCTTGAAATCTGGCGGTCTTTCCAGATCTTGGTCAGTCTCCCAACAGCTACCTTTGCCATGTTGCACCTACGCTTCAACTCTTCTTCCGATGTGCCTGTATTTGTCAATAGTGATCCCAGGTATACGTACGACTTAACGACTTCAAAGCGGTCGATATGACTTATATTTGGATGGTTGTTAATGTTGCCTATCAACTATCATGATTTTGTTTTTTGCGTATTTAGTTCCAGACCGAGCCGATTGCTTTCGTTTTCTACCCTATTTACTAGCCTATTTACTTTGCAGAATTAGGTGGTAATAAACACATGTTCAAAAAATACATGTTTTGGAAAGTTGAAATGTATATTTTTTGAATGATAGTTCGATGTAGACTAGACAGGGTGTCTCAAAAAACATGTGACATCTCTTGTGGGGAGATTCCTCACTTAAAAATAAGACTTATTTTTCATATCGACATAGGTCCGATTTTGCTTTGTCTCGTAGCTACAGGGTGTTAAAGTCTTAATAATCTTTCGATTTGTTATATTTTCTTCCAAGTACTTTTAGCGTTTCGAATGAAATTTTGGGGGCAAAAGTTACTATAAATGTTACATATTTATTTTAGTGCTAAAAAGTCACTCATCGAAAATATACCAAAAAGTGTTTTAAAGCGTCCTTATTAGGCGCAATTCTCCCTATAACGTCACGCCAATGTCACGTCGTCATTATTGCAGAATTCTCTCTCTTCAGTCCTGACTCCCATTAGGGAGTGTAGTGGTCAGCGTAACATCATGGATGATTTTTCTCCATGCGCCTCTGTCTTTTGTCATCTCGATGACATCGTGCATTGGCTTGCTACAGCTAGTCGTGATCTGGTCTATCCATCGAGTTGGAGAGCTGCCACGTGGTCTACGTCCCTCCACCTAGCCTTGAATTATGAGTCTTTCCATATTGTCCGGACTTTTCCTCATTATATGTCCAAAATATTTTAGTTGTTTTAGTCGGATTTTACAGGAAAGCCTGTTAGTAATATTAAGTTCATTTATAATGGAAACGTTTGTATGGCGTTCAGTCCATGGGATACGGAGCATACGTCTATAACAATACATCTCGGTAGCATCGATCTTCTTACGTTCCGCCTGCCTGAGAGTCCACGATTCGCAGCCATACGTCAATATTGGGAGTACCAAACAGTTGACTAGCCGGTTTTTGGTGGCTCTTGAAATCTGGCGGTCTTTCCAGATCTTGGTCAGTCTCCCAACAGCTACCTTTGCCATGTTGCACCTACGCTTCAACTCTTCTTCCGATGTGCCTGTATTTGTCAATAGTGATCCCAGGTATACGTACGACTTAACGACTTCAAAGCGGTCGATATGACTTATATTTGGATGGTTGTTATGTTGCCTATCAACTATCATGATTTTGTTTTTTGCGTATTTAGTTCCAGACCGAGCCGATTGCTTTCGTTTTCTACCCTATTTACTAGCCTATTTACTTTGCAGAATTAGGTGGTAATAAACACATGTTCAAAAAATACATGTTTTGGAAAGTTGAAATGTATATTTTTTGAATGATAGTTCGATGTAGATTAGACAGGGTGTCTCAAAAAACATGTGACATCTCTTGTGGGGAGATTCCTCACTTAAAAATAAGACTTATTTTTCATATCGACATAGGTCCGATTTTGCTTTGTCTCGTAGCTACAGGGTGTTAGAGTCTTAATAATCTTTCGATTTGTTATATTTTCTTCCAAGTACTTTTAGCGTTTCGAATGAAATTTTGGGGGTAAAAGTTATTATAAATGTTACATATTTATTTTAGTGCTAAAAAGTGTCGATAAATTCATCAGGGACATGCAAATGAGTTATCACTGGAATGTTTTTCTAAAAGAGCATGTACGCCACTAACTTTTTTTTCTCTTGTTAGCCAAATAGTGTAACAAGTTTAATGCCGATTAAAAGTTGTCTCTTGATATTTTGCCGACTTCGGTCTCCTTGATGAGATAAACGCAGTTTTATTAATTTGCCTTGATCAAAGTCTAATCTTTAAAAAAAAATTAATATCATTAACTTTCGAACGTTTTAAATAAGTACTTATTGATTCCTCATCAAAAATATGAAAAAAGATCTTATAAACATGGGTATGAAAATGCGTAGTTTTAGAGTTACAGGATGTTAAAACTTTTTACAATTAGTTTTTTTGTAATTATATCTTAAATACTATTATTTTTTATTTCAAATTGCTGTAGTTTGGACCAATAGTAATAATATTTAACAATAAATTAGGTCAAATTTATAATATATTAATTTTATTTGTATTTTAATTTTATTAAATGTGTTTATTAATTAAGTTACGTTAATCTCATGAAGGGGGCCGAATTTGGCCAAATATCAAGATAAAACTTTCAATTGGCATGAAATGATCCACACAAATTTAATATCAAAAGAAAAAAGTAAGTGGCGCACATGTTTTTTTTTTTGAACAAATATTCCAGTGATAACCCGTATGCACGTCCCTGATGAATTTATCGACACTTTTTAGCGTTAAAATATCTATATAGCACTTATAGTAACTTTTATCCTTAAAATTTCATTCGAATCACTAAAAGTACTTGGAAAAAAATTATATCAAATCGAAAGATTATTAAGATTTTAACACCCTGTAACTACGAAACAAAGTAGAATCGGACCTATGTTGATATAAAAAATAAATCTTATTGTTACTTGAGGAGTCTCCTCACGAGAGATGGCACATATTTTTGGAAACACCCTGTATAATTGCGCCTACCATTTTGTACATCATATACAGGGTGATTCCTGTAAGTCGGTCATGCTTTCGGGGAATGATAGGGGACGTCGAAATATTAATTTTGATATAGCACACTATGGGTCGGAAATGCCTCTTACGCAAGATACAGGGTGTTAAAGTTTTAGAAAAATCAAATATATTCTTTAATAGTTTTTTAACAGTTGAAGGTATCGTTATAAAATTTCATTATAGGAGTCTATCTAACAGAGACACTTTAAATGTAAAAAGAAGAGGTTTTAGTTTCAACCAGTGGCGTAGATGTGATACGCATCGGGTAATTTTTCTCAAAAAAATAGTACTCCACTGATAAAAATAAAAATTTCGGAGTTTTTTTATTTGCTGGGTTTATTTCCAAGAAAAAATGTCTCTTGCAACTTTCTTCTATCTAACACCATTTTGTCACAATTTAAAAAATAAATATTTTTTAATGAAAATCTTAATACAGCGAATTATTATAACTAGAGGGCAGAAACACATGTGCATCGTTAGCTCCCTTCATCTTGGGTAACTTTGGTACTTTTTACTATCAGCTCTAAATACATTTTTAAAAAATTATAAATTTAACTAGAATTTTTTTTGTATTGTTAATAATAAAATTCTTAGTTTTAAGGTAGTTATAATAATTCGCATATTTAAAGTTCTCATTAAAAAAAATATTTATTTTTAAATTGTGACAAAATGGTGTTAGAAGAAAGTTGCAAGAGACATTTTTTCTTGGAAATAAAATCAGCAAATAAAAAAACTCCGAAATTTTTATTTTTATCAGTGGCGTACTATTTTTTTTTGAAAATATTACCCGATGCGTATCACGACTACGCCACTGGTTGAAACTAAATCCTCTTCTCTTTACATTTAAAGTGTCTCTGTTAGTTAGACCCCTATAATAAACTTTTATAACGATACCTTCAACTGTTAAAAAACTATTAAAGAATATCTTTAATTTTTCAAAAACTTTAACACCCTGTATCTTGCGTAAGAGGCATTTCCGACTCATAGTGTGCTATATCAAAATTAATATTTCGACGTCCCCCATCATTCCCCGAAAGCATGACCGACTTACAGGAATCACCCTGTATATGTGCTTATCTCTCTTACGTTTATAGATTCAGTTCGTTGGTGCCAATTTGGTGCTATTTGTCTCAAGGTGTTTATCCAAATAACGTAAAAGACAGATAATCAGATTTTGACGTTTAATCTCAACCGACAAATGTCAAAATTATCTAAAATCGCAGCATAGATGAAGGAAATAAACTCAGATTTGAGTTGTCGGTTTTCCGCCAAACCCTGTAGTTGTTTTTGCCCTGCTATAGTGGTTGCTAAGAAAAATAGCCACCCAAACAAGGACAGAAATAATTTTCTCTTTTTTTAGTATCTTAAAAAATTATAAAATCTTCTAAAATTTAAACAAATTCGTTGCAAAAAATAACGAAAAGTGTTTAAATCGTCTTTATTCAAAGTAATTATTGCTATCTTGTCACAACCAAATCAAACAAATACGTGCTCGACCAGCTTTGGCCGAAACAATGGCCAAAAATGGCCCAAAAATAAGTTTTCTCGCAAATAATTGTCAAAATATGCAATTTACATTTTTTTTACAAAAAAGATCCTGACATTTTTTTCGTAAACTCCCAGGAAATCGGTAAAAAATGGCCCTAAAGGTCAAAGAATCGGTTTTCCACCAATATTGGAAGATTGGGTCCATAACTTAAAAAATTATCTTGACACTTTCATTCAAATTCGGGGATCTTCGCGGCGGAATATCTCGAAAACTACTAATTCTACATAAAAAATTATAAGAACCTTTTGAATATATATGGCATATTTTGCCAGATATTTGCGAAAAACTGATTTTTGGGCAATTTGGGACCATTTTTAGTAAATTTTTAATTTTTTCCTCTAAAACTACTCCCCAAAAGGTACACAATCCGCCTGAAAAGTCCCTTTGACGAATTAGGCCATGGTTTCAACCTTTATTTTCTGGACTATGTGTGAACTATGAACTACAAAAACCATCGTAGCATAATATCGGTTTCCATATAAAAATGATTCTCATATATACATAGGTGTTCGCCTTTTTTTGTCACTCAGTATATATTCATTGATATGCAGGTTGTGAGGGAGGATCTACAATGGACACAGATAAGCAAGAAGCCGAGCAAGACGATACGATCGATTCGAGGGTGAGTGCCAGTCTTTCCACGAGTACAAGCGAACTTTTGAGGGCGGACGGTACAGACGCGGCGGCATTGGCAACACTGTTACGGGCCGAGGCCAATGACAGTTCTGACAGACAGAGGGAGCGAAGATTCGCCTGCCCGTTCTGTGGGAAGTAAGTACAATTTTTGAAAAACAATGATGGATTAGTTTAGATTTGCTTAATCGTCTTCCTTAGCCATAACAATGAGTGGGAGGGAGGGGGGTTAATCACTTCGACCTTACAGATCCATTACCATACCAAAGCCATACCAAACAAAACCAATGGTTTGGCAAATGTGGGAACATTAGAAAATATTGTAATCGCAAAATATTTTCCGATGAACGTCATCAATCATATCGAAATTGACACTAAAGTCTATAAACCTGACTAAATGAAATTTTGGCAAAAATGTTTAAATTTATTGTATAATTTAAGATACCGAGCAGCTCTTCATTTTACTTTATAGAGCAAGTGATTGTAAAAGATATTTTATTTAGATTAAAGCTGCAAAAATTAGTTTAAACCGAATTTTATTATCGCTATGTTGGTTACATTGCGCTGTTTTCAGCAAGGTTGTCGTTTATTATTTGACAATTATCCTAATATCGTGTTGTTGAATCCTTATGAGTAATTCTCGTTTTTTTGCTTATTTTTATAGTCTTTTTTTTTTAAATTGTACTTTTAAGCACAAACAGTTCTTTTAAGAACTAAATTTTCGAGTTTTTGTATTCCATTTCTTGAAATTGTGTGTTGAATATATATATAGATATATAGAACGTCTTGCGACGTTGTCCGATGCCTAACTTCCACATCTTCCGATCGTTCCATTGTCCCTCGCTTAGATTCAGGCACTTATTGCTCTTGTGACCTCACCCTTCTTCCAAGTCTTCTTAGGTCTTCCACGTTTTCTTCGATGTTGGGGTATCCATTGCATAATTTGTTTTGGAAGTCGTGTGTCATCCATCCTCTGGACATGTCCGTACCACATAAGTTGTTGGCGTTCGATGTCGGTTGCCAAAGATCCCTCTATTCCTATCCTATGTTGGATTTCTTCGTTTCGGACTCTATCTCTTCGGGAAATTCCTAAGGTTCTTCTATAGGCATCCATTTCTACCGCTTCCAGTTTTTTTCGGTTGGCTTCCGTTATTCGCCAAGTCTCTGCACCATAAAGTAGACTGCTCTTTACCAGGGTCTCGTATATATTGATCTTCCGTTTCTTCCCTATTTCATTACTCCAAAATACTCCATTCAAACAGCCAATTGTTCTTCTAGCTTGTGATATTCGTTTTTTAATTTCTTTGTCATCTTTAGCTGTTGTATGAAATATCACTCCTAGATAGGTGTAGTCATTGCAGGCTTCTATCTCTTCATTTTCTAGATGTACGCTAGATAGTTCTGGACCAATAGGTAGATATTTAGTTTTTCCTGTATTTATTTCCAAACCCCATCGTTGATATTCCTCTTGTAGTTTCCTTGTCATGTACTCCAAATCATCTTTATCGTTGGCCATAAGAACTTGATCATCTGCGAACTGCAGGGTATATAGACAGGCATCTCCCAGATTAATGCCCATTCCATTACATTTTCTCTTCCATTGTCTCAAGGCCTTTGCTACATATATTTTAAATAATGTGGGAGAAACACGGCATCCTTGTCGTAGACCTTTATTGACAAAGAATCTTCCAGATAATGTGTTGCTTATTTTAATTTGTGATGTCGATTCTTCGTACAAGTTTTTCAGAGCTCTAATTAAGGTGTAGTTAATGTCCTGTAGTACCTTGAATAGTCTGTTAACTGGAACGGTATCATATGCTTTGTGAAGGTCAATAAACATGAGGTGTGTCTCCTGATCAATACTACTTTTTTTCTCTATTAGTTGTTTCAGCCAGAAAATATTATCGGTACAGGTTCTCCAAGTCCGAAAACCAGATTGTTCCTCCTCTTCTTGTTGTTGGTATTCCTGTTCTATTAAATCTCTAAGGATCCGTCCGTATAATCGACTTAGGGTACTTGTTACTGATATACCTCTATAGTTGGAGCACACTTGTTTATTTCCCTTTTTGTGGATTGAGGATATATAGGCGATTTTCCACTCTTTTGGTATTGGGGCGCCGTTCAAGAATCTATTTATACACCAGGTTAAGGCTTTAAATAGTTTTTCTGTTCCACATTTTAACAATTCACCTGGAATATTCTCCGGTCCCGGGGCTCTGTTATTTTTCAGTGCTACCACTGCCTTTTTCGTTTGCGGTATGTCGATGTTAATAACTTCTCCGGAAATATTTATCTCTGTGGGTGATATTGTGGCGTATTCCTGGCTATTTTTAAGAGTGGTTCGTAGTATTCCTTCCATTTATTCATTAGTATTAATTGTAGCTTGGCCGTCTGTTTTTCTGAGGTTTTGACTTGGTTTATGAACTTCCATGACTCGGCACACTTCCTTCCTCTCAAATGAAAATATACCGAAGCATTTAAACAGTCGAAGCAAAGAGCTTGCAGCTTTCCTGATAAACTATTTTGAACGAGAACGTTACAATAAAGGTCCTTTATTATCTTTGACTGCAGTCAGAGAAGTAAGTTTGATTGAATAATATTTATAATGGACTAGTTTTGGCCAATATGTATAAAAACCGAACGAAAACAAATAAATCAATTATTTATTAAGATATTAGTTATTAAATAAAAAATAAAACGTAATTTTTTTTTTAAAATTATATAATAAATATATTGTTTGTTACTCTTAAATTAAGATTCATTTCATAAAATCGTCAAAATCTGGCAGCGCTGTCGCCATTGCTTGTCACTCAAAGTTGATCACGTGCATCGGAAATTGTTTTGCGATTACCATAGTAATTGTATTTTAACGACAGTTCTATCAACCAGTATTTGCAACCGTATGAAATAATTAAACGGACTAATCCTAACTATTTTCTTAGGTGTGTTCGTTCAAAGGAGAACCTGAAACTGCACGTGCGCAAGCACACCGGGGAACGACCGTTCGTCTGCCTGTTCTGCGGCCGCGCGTTCGGCGGTAAGAGCGATCTCACCCGGCATCTGCGCATCCACACCGGCGAGCGGCCGTACCATTGCGACATGTGCGGCAAGTGCTTCGCCCGCGCAGACTACCTGTCCAAGCACCTCACCACGCACATAAATACTCCCCGTTAAGGGTGGGGGTATCCTGAATTCTATCCGTTCTTCTCCTTGATCCTGGGAAGAGACCTCGATCGAGGCTAATATACGTAGTATGAAACACGGTTCAGACGCAAGAACTGTTCGCTTAAGGTTGATTCTCACTATACCTTCCATATCAGCTCCCTTCCGTTTACATAAAATATTATATCATGTAAATGAATAGGACAATGCACACTATCCGTTTCGTTTCCCTTCCGTTCCATATTCTTTCCTTCCATACATTTTTTTGGCGGACGGACTGAAGCGTATCGGAAACAGCATTGTGAAGTTTTTACATTTGTACCAGCTCTGTTAAAATTTTGCTGATATTTATTTATTCTTTCAGCTCTTAATTAAATCTATTACCTTTTTCAAAAGTAACAAATTTTTAAAATAAAAGTTTCGTAATGATATAAATTGTACAATAAAAAGTATGGAACTGATACGGAACGGAAGCTTACGCATAGCGTCAATACAATAAAAAAATACGGAACGAATATGGAATGAAAACGGAAGGTATAGTGAGAATCAACCTTTATGTGGACAAAACGTTGCAGATAAAATCCTAAAAGATGTAGAGAGTGATTGAACCTTCTGAAAAAACTCTATATTAGGTTTTTGGTTTGTGAATTTTATAAAAAAAATTACATAATGTGGGGGCAATGGCAACGCACATTTTGAAAACATTTTTGTCAACATACAGAGTGATTCAAACATATTTTCAAACCAAAGTCGTATATTTTTAAATGAAATACTATATATTTTTTTCCAAAAATACCATAGTTTTTTTAAATATAACCGTTTTTAAACTTAAAATCGAAGAATTTTAATAATGTTTAACAGGAAGTACTATATAATTGTGTCTTTTTCAAGATTCGGTCTATCAAAATATAAAATCTCAGAAGTTAAAATTTGTTCAAACTTGCTGTCTACACTGTACTTTTTATCTGCAACGTTTTGTCGAGGAAAGCAAATCGTACGATAAGTCGTTACGTCTGGACCGAGCTTAAGAAGGTGGTGTTGTTTTCCGTCTGAATAGCTGCGCGTGCGTACCTACCTACTGCGCAGCCTGCTTCGTTCCGAGCCAGATTTTAGCGTTTGTGTCATTAGTGGGGCAAACCAACGGGTGTTTTTGGTTAGGTTTTGTGGATACTTTGATCTATCCCTTATTGTTGGTTTCCACTTTGGTAACCACGTATAAAAAATGTACCGAGTACACTTCCTCATAGTGGAAATGTGTGTATATGTTGGAGGCAGATGCCGAATTCGGCCTATGTCCGAAATTATTAGGCATATGGCGATTATAATTAAATATACCTACCTATATCCACAAAGTTACGCGGAAGAGTTTTGATTGCAGTAATAATATATAATAATAATAATAATTTATTCAAACAAACATGATATAATACATAACATTAATATTTACGCTTCCCCTCGGAAATTGCTTTGAAAGACTCTCAGATAATATCCGGAGTCTTGAATAAAGCACCGTTTGATCCGAAGGAAAAAAATGGTTTTAATGGTTTCAACTTCTATGCGGAGGGTGTTAATCTTTTGTTGTTATGTTATACCAAAAAAAGATTACCCCCCTCCGCAAAGAAGTTATATAAAGAGTATTTATAACCACGAAGTTGCACGCATCTGGCAAGTTTAGTATGGACAAATGGCCATATGTCTAATTATTTCGGACATAGGCCGAATTCGGCATCAGCCTCCAACATATATATTTCAGAAGTGGTAATTCTTAGGAAAAAAAGTATAAGGACCATTATTTTTAGTAGATAATTTTATAATGTAAATTTTGGTCTGAACTATTTTTTTTAAAAACTTACCGTTTACGAGAAACGTCCAGAAAAACAAAAATTTTTGACATTTGGCCTTGAATAACTTTTTTAGCAGGTGTGGGATCGATGGGAACTTTTTTCTTCTTTATAATGGCAAACCGAAGGTCTCTACCAAAATTCAGCTTTGTCGGAATTTCGGTAATTTGATCAATATTTTATAGCTATAATGACCGGAATATTTTAGCATTTTCAATTTTTTAAATAGTTTTTTTAAACATAATTGTTTAATCAAACCTTCGAAATTAGCGAATTTTTCTGCGTCGATCTACTTAGTAACTACTTCATCCTAATAATCCTATAGTTTGGCGCATTAAAAATTTTAAATTTTGAATAAATTACGAGAAACATAATGTCTTAAGCAACCGAGTTTCAAAATAAAACAGACAAACAGGTGTTCTGTAAAGTTACGAAAGTGGCGTATTGGCAGTTTCTCCTTTCAACCGTCGATATATTTTTTATAATTGAATAGAAACTATAACATAATCTTCAAAGCTATGAATAACCTTTCTTGATAAAATTTCAAATATTAACTTTTATGTCACGTTTTATAATAGTTTATTTTATTTGATTAATTGTTATTGTTTGTTTTACTATTGATGTTTTTCAAAATTTTGTTTACTCTTGCCACTATATTAATACACGTAATTATAAACATTCAAATAAATTTGTCTAAAGTATCCACAATACGGAACCGAAAATAACCCAAAATAACAAATATTTATAATTAATGTTTTAATATGTGTTTAATATACATGTACAGAAAAATATTATGGACCAACCATGACAGCTATTTACTTACATTAATACACTCTTTTTTTAATTCAACAATTTGTTTGAAGTAGTTGCTAAAAAATTGAATAATTCTCTGTAGTAAGAAAGATTTCTTGGAGACCTAGATAGCTAAAGGCGGGTTCTCACTGAAAAAAATTATGAAATTCATTTAAAATTAACTAATCATATATTTTTCTTGATTTTTTGCTTTTATTTACTACTTGTCAAAGATTAGATGTCAAAAAATTTAGATACGTCAATTTAACTTACCTGCTTCAGTAGCGTATCGGATGTTTTTGTTATTAAATAATTATTGTAACTTATCTATTTTTATTAGAATTATATATTTTTATAATAATTTTAATAACTACCAACATTTATTGACAACGTAAAATAAAACAACAAATTATTGAGTCTACCCTACATCATATTTTTACACGTTTTGAATAAGCTGGGCTTTAGACTGTTTCAAAGAGACTGATGAGGTAAGGACCCGTTTTAAGCCAGAGCTACATTGGAATGAAATAGTATATTAAACAACGAGTTTCGAAAACGACGCGACGTTTTGCACACGAGTTCGACAGTTTGTTAGCTCGAGCCGCAGGCAAGAACCACAAGTCGAACGAATGTACAAAGAAGTTTTTTTCTACGACTACAAATTAGCAGTAGACTCACTCAGTTTTTTCCAGTTTTGTGAAATCATTTGCGATGTAATGATGACACTTTTCTGACGGCTGCGCTGCATTTGGCGTTTCAGCTAAACATTGGAGGTTAAAAATGTTAAAATTGGCACATGTCGTGTGCAAAATGACACATGTCGTGCGCTAAATCCTTAGAACACAATAGTTTGCAAAACGCCAATTCCAGATCGAGTTTTCCGTGTGTCAAACTGCATTTTCTAGGCTAGTCGTAGAAAAAAGTTATAATATAGCTAAATATTGGTTGAACATAATGTTTTTCTTTTGTGTACCTCTACTACCTGTTTCACAACTAGGATTATTTGGATACCGTCCTTCCCATCAGCCTATGACGCATCCAAGTTAATGTTTATTTGGCTGTGACTAAACTTTAGGTTTTGTGATATACCATAGCAGATTTTTATTTACCGTTTATCGTCAAACGAATGCAACCTAGATATCGAACTTAGATAGCGGAACAGTTAAATCGATAGTGAGTTACCAAAACATAAGCAATATATATGCGGCAGTTGTTCTAGTCAATGATGTTGCCGAAGTATGTTACTGTTTTATTTTTTCGGGCAGTTACAATTTGTGGTCTGGAAAAACAACTTTTTGTTCCCATTATGACCTTCTTCTTAAAGTATCATTCTCTATAGAGTATAAACTATAGGAGGAAGAAGAAATACCAAAAGATGTCTAGAACATTTTATGTTTGTACTGTTTAATTGATTTTTTTAGGATTTAACATTTCATAAAAAAATAATCAAATAAAACAGTTGAGAGGTAGCCAAGAAAGATTTTGACAGATATCGGTTATAAAACAGAACAAATTTTCGTCAAGTGTTATATTTTTTAACTTTTTAGCCCATTTTTCTTGATTTTTTTAGCAAACTGTATATGAATATATCAACTTTAATTCTTAAATTCAGTTTTTTATAACCTTTAATATTGGGCTTTATTATACAGGGTTTATCAACTGGTTGTACTTTACTCTAAATTTAAAACACCCCGTGCAATCATTTCGTCTAGCGAATTTTTCTAAAACATTATTTTTCTATCAGAACCATGTCTCCTGAACATTTAGTGTTTGTTGGATCATGTCAGTACATGCTTTGGTTAATTTTTAAGAGCGAAATGAACTTGCCACTAACAATTTGCAATTTTTTCAATTTTCTTTCCTTTTTCATGTTATTTTTCAATATGACGAGGTGGTTTTGGTGACTATTCTCGTAATATCATAATACGCTATAATACGCTGCATTGGATATACTATACCAAATTAAAAAAAAAGTTAAAAAGTAACAATGCTGTGTTGGTTTTAATAAATATTAATAACGATAACAGAACTAAAGATATTAAAGAAAACATCTGTAATAATCAAGAATACAAACAGAAAAAGAACTTGTAAAAAATACTTTGTATTGCCTCCTTTGGCTACTATAACTGCAGAGCTAAATATTGGTTGAACATAATGTTTTTCTTTTGTGTACCTCTACTACCTGTTTCACAACTAGGATTATTTGGATACCGTCCTTCCCATCAGCCTATGACGCATCCAAGTTAATGTTTATTTGGCTGTGACTAAACTTTAGGTTTTGTGATATACCATAGCAGATTTTTATTTACCGTTTATCGTCAAACGAATGCAACCTAGATATCGAACTTAGATAGCGGAACAGACATTCATACTGTCAATGAGGCTGCATGTATCATATTGCGTTATAGTTTCCCATTTTTCTTTCAGGACCAAGCGAAGTTCATTTAACGAAGCTGGATCCATTTTGCGAGCTCTAACCTTCCTGCCAAGCATTTCTCAAAAGTGTTCTATAGTGTTAAGATCTGTCGAACATGCC